TTAAGTGTATGTAATGGAAAAACTCAGCCCATCTGCCCTTGCAGACCTGGGGTTCTGGGGGAGTTCAAAGCTTCTGGTTATGGCCAACAGTCCGATACATGTAGGCTCTGACATTTTAGGACATTCTGCGTGTTTGTGCCTGTAAGTCCCCTCCCCCAGGCCTCTTCCTTTTCTCTGCAGAGATACCCTTCTCCTTTCAACTCTCTGTACAGGTGGCCAGAGCCACACAGCCAGCCGTTAAGTCAGGTCTGCCCTGTTTGAGCACAAGGCAGGCCAGAAGGAAGTGGTAAGGGACAAAGAGGAAGGCACCGGACTAAGAGGATGGGAAACTCTCTGCTGAGGGAAAACAGGTGAGTCCAGACTCCCTGCGGGGGAGCAAGGGAGCTGGGATGGGGCAGTGCAGTCAGAAGGAGAAAAAGAGGCTGCTTTGGGGAATGAAGGGAATTAAGTTAAGAAAACTGCCAAGCATCCAGTGCCTACTATGCCAGACACCACTTTAAATTTCTTGTAGGTTTTGCCTTCTCCCCAGAAACACAGAGAATAGCTGGTGGAGAACAGCTGAAAGGTGGAAAAACTTTACCAAGGGAGGTTTATAAAATAGGCAATCACCAAAGAAGTGTAATAACTTTCTGGGGTCCTGGAAGGGACGCTCTCCTGAGCTCTTCATGCTCCACTTGGAAGTCAAAAACGGTATCACCGCTCTCTCAGTCATTATTTTAAGGTAAACCCAGTGTCACCATCAGGCTTTATTTGGTGTGCACTCCCTGCAAGCGGAGAAGCAGAGGTCATTTCAATAGGTAGAGAATTGGGCTGAAGTTTTCATGACTTCATCTTCCTCACTTTAGGTAAGATAATAATACAATCCCTACCTTAGAGTAGTGCAGATTCTAGAGTCTCTGGTGCTAGCGCAGTGCCCGATATAACGTAGGACTCAATAATCAGATCATTTCTTTTATTTTATCATTATCTTTATTAACATCAAAACAGCCATTCTGAAAAGTAATAACACCTAAAACAAGGATATAAAGTAAGGCTGTCTAGGGACAGTGAGTTATATAGGGAAGTCTTTATAGGATTATGTTTAGAGTTCCAGCTCTCAGTTCATGCGGCTGGAGAGTGGAACACAGGGAAAGGAGGTGACCCACTTTTGACCACTTACCAAAAGGAGGCTTGGTGAGGCTATGGAAAGCCTCATGTTACTTCCTGAGAACAGTGTTATCTGAGATTTCTTCCCCATGGGTCTCCAAAGCCCTTTGTTGATCTATTCTAGCATTTTCCTGTAAGAGTATAAGTCACTATTTTTATATCTACTTGTGAATTCCTCAAATGTAGAGATTTGTCTTTCAACTCCTGGTTCCTGGCATTGTCTGGGGCATATAATAGGCACTCAATTAGTGTTTTTAGTGTTAAATCAATGATTGGAAACAAAAGAGACAGCTGCCCTGAAACAAACAAAATATAGAAATGATGTAAGTAGTGATTAATGTCAAATGTGTACATTTGTGTCTGAGAACTGATATGAGTGTGAAGGATTATGACGTTAATATGTACTCATTAATATGTACTCAAAAAAATGAAAACTAGATAAAGCATGAATATAAACTAATAAAATGGTAATTGCATTTATAACTACTGATAACATCAAATTCAATTTTAATTATGTTCTTTGGTCATTTATACTTCTTCATCTGTGAAGACCTCATAATGTCTTTTGCTGATTTTTGTTTAGATTTTGGTCTATTTTGTTTCAGGGATAGTAAAATCTTTTTGTACTTCAGAGAAATCAGCCCTTTTTCATAAATATTGTAAAAAAATATTTTTTCAAGGCTTGCATTCTGACTTTTTATGAGTTAATGTTCATTATATTTTAAAGATAATGGAATTAATTCTAAAAAGCTTTTTAGTTTCGAGCAGTGCCAGTGGCTCAAAGGAGTAGGGCACTGGCCCCATATGTCAGAGGTAGCAGGTTCAAACCCAGCCCCCAGCCAAAAAAAAAAAGCTTTTTAGTTTCTGCAGTTACATTATGCTAAAATTCTTCCCTCCTCTTCACGATAAGACAAATCCACATATACAATTTGTAGGGATTTAATTGTTTTATATCTGATGACATACATTTAATGTACAATGTCACATATAATATTTTTTCCTAATCATTGATAAATTGGTCCAGCATCTTTATTTCTATGCTAATTTAAAATGTCTCCTTTAATCCTTTAATATATTAAAAAGTCTCATATATATTGGGATCTGATTTTTCAACTTCACCCCTACTACCCAGTTATCATACAATCAGCACACCCCACCACACCAAATTTGTTATAAGAGCTGGAGAAATTTCTCACAGCCTAGAACAGCAACTACCCCTCATGAGAGCAGCTTAGAGTCTCAGAGGAAGGAATCTGCCAGAAACAAACCCAGCCTCACCTCCTACTGGCTGTGGATTCTCAGAGAAGTTGCCTAACATTTTTTGCTTCAGTTTTCTCATTGGATTAAAAAAAAGGGGGGGAACTGTGGTGTCTACTGTAGGGATTGATTCTAAAATAAGGCAAAATATAATGTATAAAATGACTACGGTATAGAAAGTAATGTTTAAGTGTTTGTTTCTTTATCTTCTTACTCCCAGCTCCCAGCAAATGAGAAGTTAAATATGTAGAAATTCAACACAAGCAATGAACCATTTTGTTTTCTTTAATCTTTTTCTTCCCCTTTTCCCCCATGTTCTCTATACCTGTGCTTTCCGTAAAAGATGGCCATTTACATAAGACAAGGCCAGCCCCTTCCTCATTGCTTGTGTAGAGTTCTTAGAACTACGTCAAACAGCTAATGATAGCTAAGAAGACCAGTCCTTGCTCTAGACAGATATACTCGCAGTCATGATGAAAATTCCTGGACGTTTGGCGTCAGGTGGTTTAGGGTTAACTGTATGTACATTTGTCAGAGAAAATCAGTGGGCTGTTCTGTGGCAGTGGCAATAACGTCAGATTGAAGGTAGGCTATGGGACACCCTTGAGGAGGGATTATTAACAGGTGTGAGGGAGAAGCTGCTAGCAGAAGTAAGGACAGTTGGAACAATTACAAACAGAAATAAGAAGCCTGGAGAAGAAATATTTAGCCCATTTCTGATTTGTTAAGTTTTAGGTGGCAGCAAGACACTCAAGAGATGCCTTGGGATCTGAGACTTCAAACCCCCAAGCAGAGAACATCCAGGTGGGAGAAAACTCAACAGACTCCTCCCAGCCTTTGCCAGGGAGAATGAAGTGTGTCAGATCCTGGGCTTCACATCCCTGCCATGGAGGGTCCTTCCTAGACCCAGCATCAGTTGTAAGGGTAGCAAGTGTGAAGACAGGATGAAGACGAAATGGCTTTGAAACTTTATATGGGAGATGTGCTACTTTGCTAGGAGCCTCATGGAATCCCTAGCAACAGAAAACACACCCTGTTAGTCCTTGATAAGCCCTGTTATAAAATAAGGAGTTTTATTTCTTGTTGCCTCTTTGTTTGCCAATCTGAAATACCTCTGTGCTCAAATTCCATCCTAATTATTTGAAGCTCTGGTTTTATATTTCTGAAGTGACCACATCCTCAATGTCATAACTGTTGTTGCAAGGTTTGTGGAGAGACCCTGTGATTATCTTGATGCTATTCAATCAAGATGGCCCCATCAATCCTTTCTCACCAGCTCTTTTGAGTCCATGACACTAAGAATTCTCAGGAAGAGAATTCCTGAGCATCCCAGGGTCCAAGAATCACAAAGGGTGGCAAAGCCTGTGGAGTTATCTATACTTTTCATGTGGTTTTCAGAGGATCTTTGGGAAAAAGTTGCAACTAAAAAATAACTACTGTTGCTATATTTTTAATAGCAAGGCCCATGTTAGGGGCTGGGGACCCAGCAGTGATGTCCCAACACCCAATAATGGGGTGTATTATTGTGCATCTGTTAAAGCATGCATCCAAATGATGAAATAGATCAGAGGAACCATGGGCATTATGGTTCTTTTCTCATTAAGGGAGAGATTGGGTAGACCAGGAAGTGGGGAAGGCTCTGTGAATGAGACAGAAACCTGGAATTATTGGCATGTAGCTTCAGGTTATAGAGATTGTCTGGCCTGCTTCATGGATGTTGTCTGAACCCATCTCAAACCCAAAATATCCGTATTATAAACGGAAGACAAAGTTGAGCAAAGGAAAGAGCCAGTTTACTAATAGCTATTGTTCATATTTAATTTTATTTCTTCCTTACAACTCCATGAGTTGAACAGTATAGTGGCCTCATTTTTTTAGATTAGGAAACTATGCCTCAAGGAATTCAGAGATACTGATCCATTAACTCAAAACCACCCACCTCCTTTCATTCTTGTATCTCCTCAGTGAATCTGGTTCCTTAACATTGGTGGGATTTGGTAGTTTCCTTTTGTTTCTTTAGTAACAAAGCAAGAGATGTAAGCAAATGGTTTAAAGAGCCCTGAAGGCAGCCTGAGGGAGAGGAAGAGCTGCGGTGGGGCCCCCTGGCCCCAAAGGTTTTAGTGATACACCAAGCCTAGAGGCTGGTAGGACACTCAGCAAAGCTGCTGACCCTGCCGAGGTCATCATGCAGTCAGCCTCTCCTCCACCGCCCCTCTGGAAGAAATCCACGGGAAAGCTCACCGGAAGAGACATTTTTGCATGGTGTTTTTCAAATGGTTTTACATAATTGTTACATGTGCCTTGTTTTCCTGGAGATAAAGGGCTTTCACTTTCAAACATGTAGGTAGTTGTAAATATAAACTTAGAAAATACAATTACAATGTAGCATAAATTTGAGGAAATTCAGAGTGCAGTGAAATCTGATACAGGTATTTCCTAACTCATACCTGAAAAAAATAATTTCTTCCTATTCTTTTTTCTGTTTCTTTTTCTGTTTGAGAGAAAGAGTCTTTCTCTGCTGTCTAGGCCAGCATGCAGCAGTGTCATCACCGCTCACTGCAAGCTCAGACTCCTGAGCTCAAGAGATCCCCCCCCCCAGCCTTTAGAGTAGATGGGAGGATAGGCGAATGCCATAATAGCCAGCTAATTTTTTTTTACTCTTTATACAGACATGGGTCTCACTATTTTGCTCGGGCAGGTCTCAAACTTGTGGCCTCTAGTGATCCTCTCGCCTCAACCTCCCCAAGCGCTCATTACAGACGTGTGCCACTGCGATAAGCTGGAAAAAAAAAAAGATTTCTAAAATGTCCACATACTTGTTCCTTGCACCTTGATTTCCTGGAGATGTCCCTATGTGTTCATCACACATAAATCCCTGTAACTGAGCATAAGAAAATCTTTTCCCTTTGCTGAGAATATAATAGGAAGTTTTTTCCCTGATTAGGAATTGATGGGGTCATCTCCATCCTAGAAGGACAAAGGTCGTCTACAATGAGAGCTGTGTCCAGGTCGCCTAGGATTAATATTTGCTTGGAGAGAAAAAATCTTTTCTTGTGATTTGCATCATTTCTTTTGGGTATTTTAGGTGCTGGGATTGCCACATCGCCGACGGGTGTTTCTGCCTGCCATGGTGAGTGGAGAGCTGATTTTAGGTGTTATTTCCCCAAGTGTGGTTTCAATGTGGTATTTACTGTAAGTTACCTGTGAACTCCCTGCTGTCGGAGGCCATAGCGAAAGCCTATCACTAACCTACACACAGAGTTGGTCAGGGAAGCAACCCTTCAAGTTTGATGAAACAGGAACGATACCTCACGGGGCAGGGAGGCAGAGGTGTCGTCCTCTTCTCAAACAGGAAAGCCTCAGAGGCAAGGATGAAACTGGCAACTAATAGAGAAAGAATCCTTTTTTATATTGCAAACCCCAGAATCCCCATGGACAGAAGTACACATTTCTGCCTCTTGCCCAGGTAATTTACAGTCAGGGTCATCATATAATATACTATCCAAACTAGGATATCTTTGAGAATGAAAAGGTTGCTAAAAATAGTTAATGGTCACTAAGGAATTAGTAGTAACATCAACCAGGACATTTGGTCATCCTCCTTACAGTAGGTGTTGTCCTTGTTTCAGACGATGGAAAGGGACTTGCATTATATTTATATTGCATTTTCTAGGGGGTCTTTAATACTGTGTGCTCTATGGAAGGAATGGGCTTGCTTGTTTGTTCATTTGTTTGTTTTGGAGATCACAGATTAGAATCAGATTAGAAATCCTTCACTGTTATGATACAAAAAAAGATGATTCTTTGTTAGAAAATAACAAAGTAAGTAACCTGCAATACCACCATAGTTTTCTTTATGTAAATCAATTCTCTATCAGATTTAGAAAAGAGGGAGGGGAGAAGAGAGAGAATGAGAGAGGCACAAAAGAATGTACTTCTGTTTGGCCTCATCATTCATTTTTTCTTCTTTTTTACCTAATCCCTTTTTGCTCAAGGAGGTATAAAATTTGCATAACTTCAACAAATCAAAGAGTTAAACAATAAGTTTGTAAGTTTATATTGTTTCCTTTGAGAGTCTCTGAATATTAAAATCACCAATTTCCCTTCTTTTGCAGGAAAAAAATACACATTTTTAAAGAAAGACAAGATTCCCAGAAGGAAAGTAAGTCATAACTTTTTTATAATTGTCACTTTTGGTGACTTGCATTTCCGAACCACCTCTTCTCTGTGCTCCCCAAGCCCTTTGGGCATATTTCTAGTATGCTCAAAATATTTCTGTATTTTGCTTCGATTTGTCCAGTTGCATATTCTCCCTACTAGACTGTGAGCTCACTGAAGCGGGGGCGGTCTTGTTCGTCTCCATATTCTTCAATTACTGCCTGAGGTCTGGAGCTTGAAGGAATTAACTGGAGACAGTTAACACAAGAGGTGGAGGCAAAGGCATCATACAGAGAGCACAGGGGAGTGCAGGGGTCCTGCGGCCACGTTAAAGATTTCATCCTCTTCTTGAGAGCTACAGGGGATTCTGAAGGGCTTTATGCGGGGGACAAATATGACCAGATTTGTGTGAAAGAGATCTCTCCAGCTGCTCTGTGGGGAACAAATTATAGCAAAGAATAAATGCCAAAAAGCTACTTAGGAGCCTGGTGCAATGGTCTATAGCGACAGAAGAGTGTTGAAGTTAAGCAGAACAAATTCAAAGAGAGGGTGTTAAATGGAATTGCAAGAGAAAAAAATAAGAAAATGGCTCGGCGTCTGTGGCTCAAGCGGCTAAGGTGCCAGCCACATACACCTAAGGTGGCGGGTTCGAATCCCCAGCCTGGGCCCGCCAAACAACAATGATGGCTGCAACCAAAAAACGGCCAGGCGTTATGGTGGGCGCCTGTAGTCCCAGCTACTTGGGAGGCTGAGGCAGGAGACTTGCTTGAGCTTAGGAGTTGGAGGTTGCTGTGAGTTTGATGCTATGGCACTCTACCCCGGGGGATAGCTTGAGGCTCCATCTCAAAAAATAAAAATAAAAACAAAAATAAAAATAAAAATAAGAAAATACAGGACTGAGGAAAGGGCATTGGATTTTTGAAGAAAAACAGAGTTTTGACTTTGCCTTCATGACTTCAGTGCTGCACCTTGAAAACTAGCCCTGTCAAGGTGTATAAAATGACTAATACAGACCTGCCACTCCAGCCATGTCACTCTGGGAAACAGTGGGTCCCAGGGAACTCTAACCTCCATCAGAGCAAAATGGAGTGGAAATAAGACCAGATGTTAAAACTCACAGACACTTTTCCTGTGATGGTAATCAGCAAAGTCCTAGATGGCCGCAGGCATTTACAGAGATGTGGGGATCTGGGAGTCACTGTTGGAGGAATGTCCATCCACGCACCATACAGCACCTGTACTGCAGGCGTCCACGGGAGGGCACATGTTTCCTCTTGCTCTGGCGTCTTCACAAGGGGGTAGCAGGTGTGTCCACTTCCCTCTTTGCTGAATGGCCAATGCCAGTTGGTTTTAAGTAAGTTGACTTTTGAAAAATTGCCCTGTTCGTGTTTGTATCTGCCAGCAGGTACAGGAGTGGTAGTGTTCAGCCTAAGCGTTTCCTCTTCTGCAAAGCCTCCTTGAGTGCAGCCCCTACATCCCCACCATCCTCTGTCACTCACTGTAGAAACGGCAGCCTCCTCTCGGCATTCTAGGTCTCTCGCAACCCCTCGTCTGTCTCCTTTGTTAGCCTGTGAGCCCCTTGAGGACAGGGACTGTTTTCTGATTCTTATTTGTCTCCCCAGTGCCTGGTACAGAGTCAGCATGCAGTGAATTTTGTGTAAAGAAGGATGCAGGTGGAGGGAGGCGGGAGAGATTTCCTATCCAAAGGCCCACTGAATGTGTCTCCCTCATCTCACCTCACAAACTAAGCACAGCTCTGCTATTCCTTGTCCCTTCTCAGGGATGGGATATAGGTTAGAATAACTGGATAAGGGCTACCCCAGCTGTGCCCCACTTCTCTGATTGCTTATAATCCTCTCCTCCCTCCCTCTCCCCCTCAAATCTCCCCATAGCCTGAAACTCATTGAGTGTATTTTCTCTCTGCAGGCGAAGGAATGTCATCTGCTCCCATCCAGGTAATAAGAACAGTTCAAAGACATTTTCTGAGATGAGGATAGAAGTACAGACCCCCTGCTCCAGGAAAAGGTGGCCTCCTGGACTTTTTCTGACCCATCCATGAAAGAAACACTTTGGATGCCAGTGCTTGGGAGACCAGGAAGCATAGGCAGGACCTGGAGTCAGAGCAGCAGCCATTTCTGTTTTACATTTATTGAAAGAAACTGACATTTACTGCCCACTTAGTTTATGACATGCAACCTGCTGAGTGGTTTACGAGCCTTACCTTGTGTCATTGTCACCACCACCTCATAAGATTGATGCTATTATTCCCCACGCCCACCTTTTTACAGATGGGATGAGAAAACTAAGAGATTTAGCTATATTTCCCCAAATCCAGACAGAGGACAAGTTGGCAGAGCCAGGATTCAAAACTAAGTGTCACTTCAAATCCGCGCTCTGTCTCCTGCACTTTGCTGCTTTGCTTTTCATCTCCTGAGATTCCGTTGTGAGTGAAACCTTCCCTTGAGATGTTTCCCTCTTTACTAATGCAAATATCTCTGGACTAGGTGGTAAAATATCATCACCCCAACACATTAAGGTGTCATCAGATTGTTCCCTTTTGTAAGAATGGGCTGCCCCCAGAGCCCTGAGACTTTGCAAATTGTGCAGGTGTCCAGGGGCCACTCTGGGACGTGAGGCAGAGGGCACACCTGGGTAGGCTGAATACTCTGGGCAGCTGGGGCACACTGGCTGCCTGGCCTAGTGGTTGGAGTGGGGGCAGGCATTTAGGAAAAATGGCTGACTGCTGGAGAGGAGGCAGTCATAGAAAACAAATTTGGCTTAGGGTCAGGTCTGGGTTGCCACTGAACTTAATGACGGCTGTCCTTTGACCAGCAGGACAGCTCGGACCAGATCTACGTAGAGGAGCTGTGCTACACCCTCATCGATCACAGTGTCCTTCCAAGACGGCCATCTGGGAACTCTTCTGAGGGCTACTATGAGAATGTTTCCTGCAAGGCCGAGAGTCCCGGAGAGTCCTCCAGAGGAACTGAGACCGAGTATTCACTTCTCCATATGCCGTCCACCCCGAGGCACCCACCCTCCCCGGACGATGTGTACGAACTCCTCATGCCGCCCAGCGTCTCCTCTCACTTTCTGCAACAGCCGCATCTGCCTGGGACCCCTCCCGAGAGTCACTTTTCTCATTTCTAACACAGAGGTTGGAAGAGCACTTAACATCAGCAAATGAAAGCTGGCCATTAGGGGCTGGCTGAAGCAAATGCGGGGTGCAAGGATCCCGCAGCTCACTTTCTACATCCACCCCTTCCCCCACAGAGCACGGTTTGCAAACCACAGGGTTTCTCAGATCCTGTTCAAAAGCCGACATGACATCCGAAGATCAACCAGTTACCCTAAAGACCACAATTTGAGAAAGGAGTGATCATCTTGGGTTCTAAGTGGTTCTGGGTAGGAGGTGAGAGGGGCTCCCTGATTCTCCTATAGCTGTGCACACCACAAAGGGTTGTGCTTTTCGTAGGGATCTTCTGATAAAGTGTCCCCGTGATTTTTCTCTGAAATCCCAAGGAAGCTTTACTATTTATATCATTATACCGTTGTACTATCCAGCAGGGAGTTCACTCACTATAGCAACCTTCCAGCTCAGCTGCACTCCCACGATGCTCCTCTCACTCCACATGTCTGGGCCACGTCCTCCATACAGTGTCCTTTGACTTGTGGGCCCATGTGGCCTCACTGGTTATATGAGTTGAATCAGGAGGTTCCAGGCCAGATGTTTATATAATTTTAACCTATAGGATTTTGTTTTTAAATTTGTGTTTCTGCCTTGAAGTCTTAATAAGACAATCACAGCTTCAGAGATAGAGTAGAAAGACCCTGGGAGATTACTCCATCCCACTACCCTTTTTCTGGCTCAAAGAGGATAATTTTCCCAATGATACATTAAAGTTAGTGGCAAAACTTCATTAAAAGGCTCATTTTCCCCAAGCTTCTAATCAGTGGTCCTACAATATACTACATAGAAGACCCTCTACCATATTGTAAATGTATATATTTAGCAATGTATTGTACAAAATATGAATAAAATGTCCACACTCAAACATTCTCTAATGAACACTCCTGTATGACCTGGTTATTTACATGGCCTCATCTTTTTAATGTTCCTAGAATTATGTCTATTCTCTAAACTAGGCTTCAGCAAACTATGGCATCATAGAGGGAAAATCTGGCCCACCACCTGTTTTTGTAAATAAACTTATCTTGCAACACAGCCACACTCATATGTTTACACACTATCCGTGGTTGCTCAACCATGGGAGAATTGAGTAGTTGTGATACAGACCACAGGCTCCACAAAGCCAAAAAGCCAAAAATATTTCTACATGGGCCCTTTCTGGAAAAAAGTTTGCAGACTCTGCTCTAAGTGACCAGAGTTTGAGACAAACTCAACAGAAATGTACTTGGTTATTGAGGCATAAAAACAGGTACTAATGTAAAAAATAATAAGCTGCAAATTGGATGAGTGAAACCAAGACCGTTTTGCAAATTCATCTATTTCTATATTCACACCTGTGTTCTCCACTTGCCGTTTTACTTAACTCACAGCCACTGGCCTAGGTTTAGGGATGTTAAAATAGTCGGGGCTTTGTTGAGACAAGCAGTAGCTGCACTGTGTTTACTGTCTTATTCTCAAAGATAACCAAAGCTAAGTAACTTTGCCGTCGAAAATGTGCTAAGTGACAAATGAGGATAAATCCAGTCGCTTTACCTTAAGTGTGTCACAGGTTTGCTCAAACTCCAGCCAGTCAATGGTCTTCAGTTAGGGAGCCAATCTCACCTTGGTATCTTATCCTCTGCCAATTTCCACTTCTTTAGCAAAAATTTTTCCCATGGATCCCTAACTTTGATCCTTGGCCAGGATTCACATAGGTTCAAAAGGAGGCTTAGCAGTGACTACAGTGTAAGACTTAACTGGGCTTAGGGGAGAGAGTGTAGACCCCAGAGACAGAATCAGCCATTCAAATCCTGGGTCTATCTCTTCCTCCCTCTGGGACTACGAACACGTTACTTGCAGGTTCAGCTTTATTCCATAAACAGGAGGATCATATGTAATATATGCAAAAAATCTATCACAGACCCTGAATAGTTGATATCAAAGAGGATAGAGAAACAAAAATCTTTTGTGATGTATGGAGGAAAACATGCTGATCCATCTGGTGACCCAGGGTCACCCAGCAGTCCTGTACTGAAGCAGAAACACCCAATCAATGAATTTACAGTGGACTTATTTCATAGGGATACTGGACCATTGCACAGGTTGGTTGGTTGGAATATTCTTGATGCAATAAACTGTATTTCTTTGAACTTTATTCTGTGAAAGTATTACCTATTCCAAATAATATATAACTTCCATCTGGAACATATTAAGCACAAATATTTAACCCAAGAAAGTTGTTCTTATAATAAAATTAGAGGGATTATGAAGGGGAATTGTTTTTGAGCTGAGCTATTTTGGAGTATTTCAAAAGGTATACATACATTTATCAATCAAAAATAATATCAATAAAAAGTAAGGAAAAAGATTCTATGACCCAACTTAATGAACTTCATGTGTAAAAAATCTCAAATTTTCTAGTAAATTTTAGTGTAAAGAAATCCACTATGTCAGTGTATAATGCTGATCCTGTTTCCATAGATTTTAGGATTTCTGATGAAAGCCATGTACCCTCTTTGCAGAAAATGTACATTCACACACACACACACCACACATTTGTGTATGTTTTGAAAGGATTATGGATGCACCCTCTCCATATAAGAAAGCCTTTTCTTGATAGACAAAGCAAAGCTGAGCATCTAAATTCACCTTATAAATCACAATTATAACCAGAAGACACCTCCCTGCTTGTCTTGAAACTGTATATAGCCAAACTTCAGACGCATAATTTACGTAGCAACGGCAGACTTTGTGGTTTCCGTTTTACGTGCATACTAGCAACTATAAATAATCCCTCATTCTGTGAATAAATTATCATTTAAAACAGAAGAGAAAAATAGGAAGAGGACAGAGACAGGGCAGGAAAATCTACTGTCTACAACAAGTTCAAATATTAATGTTTTTAGGACGAACGGTGAAAAGTGCTTCAGATATTCTCAGAGATAGAAGGTCATAGGCAGAACAGAAAAAAGGCTTGCTAGGATGGGGTTCTGTAGCGAAAAGGAGATTTTGTTTACATTTATCTGACTCAGTTCTTTTCTAAGCTGCCCTACATCCTCTCCAGCTCAGAAAGCCACTTGATGGGAGTGTGCTGGGTTCTGCCAACTGTGCAACAGATGAGTGTAAATCCTCCCACTTCTCACAGAGGGGTCTTTCATTAGGCTTGGTGAAGCATTTAGGGCCCATTCTCATTAGAGAAAGTCCTCTGCAGTCTGCTGGCCATCCCTCTCCATCCTTCCTTCCCTCCAACCACCTGTGCTCCTCATGAACTTTCAGATGCCAACCACACCTGGACTGCATGGCCCTGGGGCTCCTACCAGGGCAGGAGGCCATTCAGCACGTGTGGTTGCCCAGCAGGCTGGACTTGGCCCCGAACAAACTGTGCAACTCTGGGCTGGTCCCTCCAGCTCCCAGGCCTTGGTTTCCCGCCTGTAAAATGAGAGGGCTTCCTAAGGCTAAGTCTGTGATGTCTAATCCTGTAGGAAAGGATGTCTGTGGATAAAGCTGCCAGCAATGTAACAATAGTGGGAACTAACCTGTTTCAAAGCAAAGAAACATTCATGGGAGAGAAGGGAGGAGTTTGAGAAATTTCTCCCATTTTTTTTAGCGTTGACCAGACTCTGAATAGGATAGACATTGGTGTCCAGAATTCACACCTAAAAGAAAAAGGATAGGCAGGGCATAGTGGTTCACACCAATAATAATGGCACTCTGGGGCCTGAGGTGGGAGGATCACTTAAGGACTGGAATTCAGGATCAACCTGAGCAACATAAGACCCCATTTCTACAAAAATTAGGCAGGGATGGTGGTGTGCGCCTATAGTTCCAGCTACTCAGGAGGCTGAGGCAGAAGGATCATTTGAGCCCAGGAGCTAGAGGCTATAGTGAGCTATGACCTCCACACTTCGGCCCAGCAAACACAAATGTAAAGGCAGGCCAATCTGCTTATTCAAATCCCACCAGTGCTTCAGGGATCAGCTGGAGTCCTCCTTCCTATGTAAAACCTTCTCCCATTAAAATATATTGACCACTCTTCTCTCTGACCCCCCACACCCCTACAGTTTGTCTTTCTTGTTTTTAACACCTGGGTACTTTTTTCCCCACTGTTTCCTGGTTCATCTAGGAAGCCCTGACTCCCTAATAATACCAGCAGCTTCTTTTCTTATTGTCATCCTCTTCTCCATTAGTATCCCATATGTGTTTCCATAAAACCCACCACTTTTAAAAATCTACAGAACTGAATTAAGTTGAAACGCAAGAGATAATTAGACACATGGCTAGAATTTTGCTGGCAAGGGAAAATTCATCCGATTTGGCTGTTTCTATTCTACTCACAACTAAGTGACTTCCAGAAAACAGCAGTTTTTCTTCTCAAATCCTTTCATTATTTCACCTTACTATGCACAAGGCATCATGCTTATCCTTTAAGATATATGATGACCAATAAGTTTCTCTCCCATAGCAGAACAGTGTATATACGTCAGGGCCACTTTTTTTTTTTTTTTTCCGAACACCTCACAATGCTTCAATTACAAAGGTCAGTTCTTTCCACACCACTTGGGCCAAAAAGTCAAACCTATGGAAAGTCCTCTTTATGACACACGAGTGGTCAAAACCCAAGCCGACGTACTTGCATCTTGGTGCTTTCTACAGCAGAAGAGAAGAACAAAGCTAAGTCCTGTCTCCAAACTCAATGCAGCAGGCCCTACTGTCCAGCCCCAGGGAGGGCTCTCAGAGGAAGAGGTGGGGAATGGAAGGCCTCGCCCTGTTCTCTCGGGAACAGAGTGGAGAACCCAGTCAGCCCCAGGCCCACCCAGCCAGATCTTCTTCTCTCAGAAGAGGAAGCCTCCCTCAGGGGAATGAAAAAAATCTCTTCCAGCACCACTTACCACACGAAAAGGCCTGCCCATAGCACAGCCCTGGAGAGTCCACATCTTTGAGACAAATGAGAATGCAACGATGCAGATGCAAAAATAATTTATTGTGCCTAGTTTAAATCCCTCTCCATTGAAATTTTTCATTATTTTCTAAAAAGTAAAAACACTAACGCTCACATTTGATACGTAAAAATTAAAGAGGAAGGAGGAAAATCCACTAATGTCACTAGTTTAAGGAACTACTGGAACAATGAGACAGTAAGCCAGAGCACGTGTATCTTCCAGCTAAATAAGAAAGCAAATTCACATGAACCGAGCCCTGCGTCAGAGAGCATGAGTCAAACCCAGCCTGTGACGTGCAGTCGGCCACGCAGCCCTCACACGGGCTTCCAGCCACGGCTGATTTACCCGTGACACTGGCATTAAAGATCTCTCACTGAAGGACCACAAAACTCTTTCTCTCCGTAAATTCCCAGCAAAGCAATTTTCCCAACAAAACAAATACTCTGTTCCCTCGTGATGGGAAATTCTATATTCACAGATGATCTATACAGTCATTAATATTCCTCCAAGCTAACTCTCAAATGATCTTGCACTAAGCTTCCAACAGTGTGTCTCCAAAGGAAGGTGGTTCTTTCGGTGGTATCACTATCATCTGTATTAAGATACACAGTCACTATCTGGGAACGCTGGGCAGCAAAGAGCCAGTGTGTAATATCCACAGCAGATGGGAAACAGTCCTCATGACTCTGTGCTGGATGTTTACAAAAGTATAAATGGGGTGACTATCAAAATGATAGTTATGTGTTCAAAACTCAAAGGGACTCCAAAACATTGTTCAGGAATCCTAGGAACAATGAGGAGATGCAGAATAATTAAGAAACATACATCTTCTTTCTGTAGTTATATACAATACACAAATACATATACACACACATATATCTATGTCACAGTTACATTAGGTCGACATGCCTACAGCTGGTTTGCTGAGATATCCAGGCGTCTCACACAGGTCAGGCACAGCTATGCCGCTCAGGTCTTATAAAGTGCTTGCCCTTTCTCCACAACCTGGTCTAGAGGTAGAGCTACCATAATGGTGGGAGGGTAGAGGGGATTTCAGTGACGAACTGACTCAGTCTCCCTCACTTGGCTGCCTGCGTATCCCTGCTCCAATGGCACTTGTTAAGGAGACCTGCCTAACAAGAGGTAGTGCACCACGCCTGCCCTAAAAACAAAGTGTCTACGCGTGGGTGGAAGCGGCTGGTGCTTCCAGAATAGCTGCGACCTCACATGCTGTGGCAAGCCCGCTGACCTCTATCAAGACTGGACCCAAAGGAGGCCGTGCACAGGAGTGGTTTCACTTAATTTGGAGTTAGGCTTTGGGACTGAGCAGGATGGGGAGAGAAAGATCCAGTCTCCACCCCTCTGGTCATTGCCAGGTACATCTATATTGAGCCACAGGATCTTGTCAGGGAAACAGAATGAATTCTCTTCATCTCCCAAACTCAGTGGAGCACGGCTCTCAGACACAGACCAACCTCCATGGCTTCATTCTGAAAAGAAAACACAGGGGGGCAAAAGTTGCTGATTTTTAAAATCATGATTATTTTAAATATTTATGTTCTTAGTTGATTCTGTTTGAATAAATCTTATATAAAGTTAGAATGTTCATAAATTCCTAACAGAAAGCTTACTCTTCAGTACACACACACACACACACCCCTCTAAATACTTTTCAAAGGCCAAATATTTATCATGTGTTATAAATATTCATGATAAACATTTTCATGTGGCTTTTGGATACTGAGAACATTTTGACATTCAGTCCCTTTTCATAGTCTAACCATAAAAATACCTCAGACATTTGGTTTTTTAAAATCTGTACAATATCCCATGAGAAATTCTGAGGCAGGAAGCAGTGCGGAGCCAGCCCGATTGTGGAGGTGCCCGTGCACCCCCCTCACTCGGCGACACTTTGCAGAGTGAGCCCCCGCCTCCTCCGCAGGCTTCTCAGCCGTGGCACGACTGATATCTGGAGCTGTCTAGTTCTTGATTGTAGACAGCTGTGCTGTGCACTCTGTGGGGAGTCTGTAGGGGGCAGAGGAGTCCCTGGCTCATAGTCACTGGATGCCACTCTCTCACATATACATTCAGGCGTGACAACTAAAAATGTCTCCAGATATTGCCAAATACCCCCAGGGAGAACTAGTGCTCTGCAGTTCAACCCTCCATGGATTCCTGGAGAATCCCTCCACTACAGAAATGCTTCTCCTGGTACCACAAGGAGCCTTTCCCAGGACAGGACACACACATGCTGCTGGGTGGGGCGCCCCCGGCCTGATGATTTCAAGCTTGTTCTTTTTTAAGCACCAAAGGAGGCAAGAAAAGCTTCATCTTTCTCTGCTGTACCCCTTTTAATAAAAGGATTTGTTCTGTTCTGTAAAATTTGGAATCATTTAAATGCCACATGCAAGGACCTAGAAAGCTGCGAGTGGCCTCAGTTTCTCCCGCCCTAGCTGGAGCTGTTTCCTCTTCCCTCCCACAGAAATCCTGTGTTTGCCTTGCCCCCTTTCCCGCCAGTCTACTGGCTGACTCCTTCCCATGTAAGGAAACAGGGCCAAGTAACTAATCTGTGTCCGAACTACCTCCTGCTGCTGACTCAGCTCTGACATCAGTAAAACAGACTCCCCACTTACCCAGGCCTCGCCCACCCATAAGGTAAAGACGATCGAAGACAAGGAAGGGTGAGGGGCAAGGAGTCTTAAAAATTCCTTTCTTAATTACATACAAAAGTAAGTTTTCATTTTTATAGCAAATTAAAATATACCTGCAGCCAGGTCAAAATAATTACTATATTTCCAAATTAGAGTCTGAGAACTGTACACACACAAAAGCACTCAGGAATCCAAATTGTTATCTAGTTTAAGGTTCTGCCTCTAAAGTACATACATATGAACCCCCAACAGACAGCAGTCAGGCATCAGGGGAATCCCTGGAATCTCAGAAATCATTTGTACAATTTTGTGTAATGAGGAGGGGTGTGTGCATTTAATCTTCTCGAAGGAAGGAACATAGCTGTCTTCGAATCTCTAAGGGACATACAAATCAAACAATTTTAAGAATCTTTCCTCTTAGATGAGTAAGAACATTATCCACCAAGCCCACACTCATGGGAACAGAGTCAGAAACCCACCTGGCCTCACTCAGCCTGTCCCTGACACTTCTCTTCCCTCCCCTTAGAGTTGCCCTGGGCTCACCTCACCCCCCCTTTGCTTGTCTGCCATGGGTTTCTCTTCTTTTCTTCCTTCCCTACTGGTCACTGTCTACCCTTCCATCTGAGAGGGGGCTGAAACTCAAATTCCTGAAAATATAAAATGGCTCAAATACAGTAGTCCTCTATAAGGTGATCACCCAAGGGACTGTAACAAACCAGTCAACACATGGAGATGGTCAACATCAGGAACTAGGCCTACTATACTGATACTATGATAATTAGATCAACAAGGAGGTGGTGGTCCCTGTAGGAGTTTGGTCAACTACAGCAGTTTCAACAAACTGCATGTTCACACTCCGGGATGTGGGATGTGGGTCACAGGATGTGGGTGTAACAAACCAGTCAACATATGGAGATGGTCAACATAAGGAACTAGGCCTACTATACTGATACTATGAAAATTAGGTCAACTTAAGGAGGTGGTGGTCACTGCAGGAGTTTGGTCAACTATAGCAGTTTCAACATACTGCATGTTCACGCTCCAGGAAGTGGGATGTGGGTCAGAGAAAGGCCCCCAGAAGAAATATCTGAGAGAAAGAGGACAGGCTGCAGAAGAGCAGGGACTGCACAGCTCACAGGGTGCTCAGGGACTGGCATCCCCAGTGTCCTGCAGCCCTGGGTCCTAAGGACCTGAGGCCATCTGGTGGAGTTTGGGTCTTCTCAGAGCCCTGCTCGGGCCTCACAAGCAGTGCTCTTTATCCTGCTCTGCATGGACTTATCAGCCTCATAACCCCCTTAAACTCTTCCTCATCTTCCTCCCTTCTTCCTTGCCTCCTTGTAGAAGGAGGTAGCACTGCCATTTTATGGAGGGGGCCTCAGTAAAACAAGACCAGTCACACCATGGCAGAAACCCCCACCAGCCTTACACACCTCAGTGCACAGCTGGGGGCTGGAGGCTTGAGGTTTTTCCCTTTCTTTTTAAAATTCCTGTAACTGGGACATAATCTCTTCACCCCATACACATGGCTGTCTCCCTGGCCCACAGACATACTATATTGATTCAGGATGCTCTGGGAGGAAACTGTTCACTTATGAGAATTTTCTAGTGAGCTAAAATTTGTCCTTCTGAATGTCATTCCTTTTATTCATTTGGGAAAAGAAAGCTTTAATAAATGCTTCCCATAACTCTCTGTCTTCTTAGGCTGAGATTACTTTTGCTTCCATCATCAAGAAATGTCATAACAGACCCCTCTTCCTGAACTGAGTAGTAACACGTGTGCTCTGTAATCTTCTGTTCTGCTCTTGTGATTCTACACTGCTGTCACTGCACCTGCTGCTAACATCTCCTTCTAATTTCCCTTCTTCATTTACTTAAGTAGTATTTACTAAGTACCTATTGCTGTGTGGAAAGTGTTTCTCATGGACTGTGGATGAGAAAACAGCCATGATTGTTGGCATCATGGGCTAAAGAAGAGCCATCAGGCCTCCAAGTGAGGAATCGGGAGTGAGAAATGAGATGAGATCATGGGCAGAGGCCAAAGCTCCTGTCCAGATGCAATGGAAGGACGTTTCCAAGACGTGAAGCCATTTTGCCTTCCAACCTTACTTTCTGTCAGGTTTTATGCAAAGGGTTAAAAATTCTCAGAGTCTAAGGCCAGGTGCGGTGGCTCATGCCTGTAATCCTAGCACTTTGGGAGACTGAGGCAGGAGGATTGCATGAGGCTAGAGTTCAAGACCCCAGCTCTACAAAAACTAGAAAAATGAGTAAGACATGGTGGCAGGTGCCTACAGCCCCAGCTACTCAAGAGGCTGAGGCAGGAGAATTGCTTGATCCCAGGAGTGTGAGATTGCAGTGAGCTACAATGATGCCACTGCACCCTAGCCTGATCAAAAAAAAAAAGAAAAAAGTTCTCAGAATCAGACAAGTAGGATGTTGGCCATGTTAATTAAGTAACATGTTAATTTTCTTGTTCTGTTATCCATTTTAAACCTACATGAGTAAATTTGTTTTAATTTTCTATGGAAAGAAATCAATTTGGTTTTTTTATGCCTCTCTGTTAATTTCTTAATGGATTCAGTGGCCTTCAACAGAAAAGCAAGAAGAGTCTCCATATGGAGATTATCTTTCAACAACTTAGCTAGACCCTTTATTTAAAATTCCTCAATACTCACCTCTCCTGTGAATCCACAGGGTTATCTTAAAGGTTGCTAATGATGTTGTAAAGTAGGACACGGGGCTTAGAAGGTAAGTGAATTGCAACAAGGTAACATTTACCAGTCTTCATCTTTGTAGTTCAATTATATTTTCCATAACTTTTTTTTCTAACTACAGTGTCTTCTTATAGAGGGCAGGAACTGGGTATCCTCCACAGAGTGTGGGACAGAAGCAACATGGGCTGAGTGATAAGTCCATGGATGAATGACTTGACATCATACCCAGTCACCAAAGTTGTCAAACCAAACCAGACCATCTGTCTCCAATCTGGTCCACTCATTCATTCATCCTCACAACTCTGACTTCTGTACCTGCTCTACTTACCGTATAGCAAAAGGGATGCTGGATCGAGCCCCAGACTCTCACAACCAGGGATGTTCCGATCATGGAAATCTTGTAGCAAAATGCCCAGCACCAACTCCTCACTCATCATATACTTCATAAAATTTTCATTATCTGATGGGACCCCGAATTGTAGGTGGTAAATCACTGTGGAATTTTCACCACTAAAAGGCAAACCACAGACATTAAAACATAGAAACAGAATCACACTCCAACTCAAGAAATCAATAACATTTTTTTAGTGCTGCATGTTCTTCCAGTACAAAACAGCAAACGGCAATCCGTTCTAGCAGAATGTGCTGTCCTAGAAGAATCCTCTTCATAGGTTTGTCGCAAAAAGTTGAGGTGCTCCGGACCTCTTCCTTCCATCTGGTGATTGCCCAGGAATCCACTGGGAGATGATGTCTACGGAGAGCCACCACCCAGCTATGGCCAACGAAGATGGCAGGGCTGATAAGTTGTCCCAACCTCATCCTTTATCCTTGGGGGGCATCCAACCTGTAGCCCAGGGGCTTCATGTGGATTTGTTGAGACCTGTTTTGCTTATCTATGGTGTCAGATATCATAAAAATTATGCACAGATCTTTTCTTTGCTCATCAGCTTTTGTTAGTATTTGTGTATTTAATGTGTGGCCCAGGACAACTCTTCTTCTTCCAATGTGTGGCAAAAAAAAAAAAAAAAGTCAAGCCCAGGAAGCCTGCCCTTTTCATGCTTTCCCTTCTCCATGTTCTTAACGCTGCCCCCATGCCCCTGCCAGAGCTATTGAGTTTAACCAGCTCTTTATTCAACCTATAAAAATGTTTAAGGAAGGGCCCACAGCTCCCTCCCATTGTCTGGGTCCTGAACTTCTGAACTCTCACAGAGACTGCTCTGTGCCCATGCAAAGAATCATACTTCCCCTGTGTGTCCCTAAAGTGAGAAACTTTTCTGTCCCATTTCCCTGTTTCAGAGGCCCCTGAGGCAGAAGGACAAAGCTTTTTAACTCTCAGAATGGGATCTAAGGAAAATAAAAACAAACATAGAGCTACCCTCAGTTAATTAGTAGCTTATACTCTTCTTTAAATGCTATTTCAAGCCTTGTATTTTTCATAGTTATTCTATCACTTTTGTTCAAGTAGCCTAGATTAAAATAATTTATAGGAGATCACATCTGAGACCATCGCCCTAGTGAAGTTTCACAGGTGCCTGAATGAGGCTGCTGCTCTTGCTAAGAACGGGCAGAGCTCCCTCTTGTGGCCAGAGATCGTATAGGCCAATACTCCTGCGTCTCAGAAAGTGCCTGACAAGGCAGTTTACAAACTCTATGGCCAAGTAGTGTGACAAAGCCTGTGGATCAAACCAATAATACAGTCAGGACTCTAGAGAAACTCACAATTTCAAGGCTGCCACTATAGGCAGGCTGGACAATGCACTTTCAAATTCCAATCAAGCTACCCTAATTTGCACGTGTCATTACTTGTTCTCAGAGCTCTGCTTTCTAATTATGGCTAATGAGGGTTAACACCCGGAAAGGCAGCTACCCTGCATTCCCATGGGCAAGGATGTGGCCTGGCTAAAAGAAAGGGCCTGAGGCTGATGTTCAGAAGACCAGGTCAGAAAACAAATTAGAAGCTGTAGCCCACTGTGGCCTGCCTAGTCTATTCACTGCTGGAGTTTTCAGGGCGTCAGTGAACCTTGTGGTCTTCACCCCAGCTGCCCATCACTGGAGTGAGTCCAGCAGCCTGGAACAAAGGGAACTGTTCCAGGCTCCTCCTGGACCAGTCCAGGACTGAGGTCAGGATGCCCCTGGTGACACAGGCACATATGCCAGGGCTCTGGCTGTCTCCTGCCGCATACTTTAGGAAGCAATGGCTATTGTTTCTCAATCAACATTGTAGGAACATTTTAGAAATTCTAGCACAGATCACCCAGCACTCTAAACAAAACAAGAATATTTTTCAGGGAGAATTTCTTTATCCAAAATACTAAAGTGCCTGGGTTTTTCTTTTAAACTTTTAAAAACAGATTCTCTAACATTAAATGTTGGCCAGGTTTCTGGCCATGTTTTTCTGATGGGTTTTTCCCCATATCCACCTCTACCCCTATTATATAATCCCAGCTCCTCTGGACCTATAACATAGGGCTGGATCCGGGGAAAGACCACAGAGGCTTTTAAGGGCCTTCCTCTCTCAACTCCGCCTCCATCTTTGAATTGCAAGTTGAGGCGAGGACATGAAGGAAGATGTGTTGGGTCTGATCATCATTTCTCCCTTCTCATGGTTTGTGATGAAAATGAGCAATGTCACAGATGTCATGATTAGGTAATGTGGACACAGAGGGCCTATAAAAATGGAGGACAGAGGCAGCCAGCCACTATAAGTGCCTGCAGACCGCAGGTCCATTTGGTCCCGTCCCATGGTGCTACTCTGTGCTTCCCACGCTTCCTCTCCCAGGTTTGCTAAAATTATGGTTTGGGAGGGGAAGCTCAATAGAATAATCTTTTTGGTGGTCACATTTCAGAGACATCTTAGGAAGAGTGGGTAATAAAGCTTTGGTATAAATCAGTTGCAATAGTCCTAATCATCAAAAGGATAATAAACTGACTCCTCCACAAATGCCCTGATGTCTATAGCCCAAAAATATTAAAGATCAGGGGGAAATTTTAAACATATCCTATAAGGGTACATGTGAATCTTTCTAAATGTAGAATATAAATGTCTTAACACAACAACTAAGAAAATGACATGAAGGCTATGTTAACCAGTTGGATATAAGTATTTCAAATTGTATATAGAAACAACACACTGTACCCCATGATAGTATTAATGTACACAGCTATGATTTAATTTTTTAAAAAAAAGAAAAAAAACACATGTATGTGTACACACTACGCATGTGTAGTAGATAAGGTAAATACGTGTACAGAAGAAATCACACCAAACTATTGACAGTTGTTACTTTTGTCACAGGGAATGGAATTAGCTGATGGTGCTGGTCGGGGAGGAGCAAGGAAGCTGAAGGTAGACTATTGCTGTAGGATATATCTTTATGTTTTTAATGTTAAGCACAAAGAATACACTCCTAGATTATTTGTGTTCCTCAAAAGCAAAAGCCAGGACATAGATTACATCATTTATATCACAGCGTTATCTGAGATCTGTTTCTCTTTCTACCCGTAGTTTATCTGATCATCCAAAATTAAACAGGAATGGTTCACCAGGAACTGGCTTTTCCTCTCCAGTCTGTAGCTTTGGTTGAACCATATAATTCATCTGCGCTTCCTTTTTCTCATTTTAAACTAAGAAAGTTGAGCCAGTTGGTTTCCAAAGAGGCTCGCTGCCAATGTGTTTGAAAGAATCACACTCTGTGACTCTATGATTGGTTCCCTTCATGCTCGGAGGCTCAGGGAAACCCTCCCAGGTAAATGGTGATGGGGTGGGCATGGGGAGGATCAGAGAAACACCAAAGTGGAAGGCTCCACACTCTTACCTTAAGTCAAATATTTCAACTGAAGTGAAATAACGCCTCAGAGCTGGAGATGTACTGTACACATCCGTGAGCTAAAATAAACAAACCATCACACACATGACTGACATCATATCGCACATCGCCTGACAAAGCAGAGATCCTTCTAGACAGAGATTCTGCTCCTGCCAGGAATTTACTGATCTAGAAGCTCTGAACCAAAAAATAGGAAGGTTTGAGATTACCATAAGCCAAAAGTCAACTTAATGCTAATTCAAAAGACCCATGTTGATCAGGACCAAGTGATCTGGCTGGGAATTTTCAACTTCTGTAAGTCATGCTGACACCTGTGGCCTCAGTGGTGTGAAGTGGCAAGGGAGACAGCAGCACAGAACACCCAGCAGCTAAGGGCCCAAGGCTCCTTTCTTCCTTCTCTAGGATGAAAAGCCATGCTGAGCCACAGGCCAGCACTCCCCCTGGATGAAGGAAAAATGTGGGGAACTGCAAAGATACAGAGGTTTTATTTTATGCATGAACTACTGCAAACATCCTAAAAACAGATGCCTGTGTTCCCATTGCCTGTGCGTCACGCCTTCACCTTTTGCTATGTTGAGTTCAGTCATTTTTAAGAAATGAAATAAAGCTAAAGTGACTCCTATGCACACTGTAGTTTGTCTTCCCGAATCCCTCGTGCTAGCTGTCACCCTGAAGCTGGCACGCAACCTTTCCTTGCATAATTTTATAAATTACTATTTCCTTATATAGTCACATAATTTAATTTGCATTTTAATTCAAGTAAAAGTTACCATGTTCCGCATAGTCTTCTATGCCTTTTTCTTTTCTCACTCCAAGTTACATTTGAGATTTCCCCATAAGGCACGTCTGGTTGCAGGGTATCCATCTAACTCCTGTGCAGAATCCATTTGATGGTTAGACAGACTTCCCTACCCCCTACCAGTGAGCATGTGCGCTGGGTCCAATTTTCCCCTAACACTTATGCCACAGTAGTCATCTTTTTATATATATATATATATTTTTTTTTTTTTTTTTTTTTTTTTTTTGCAGTTTTTGGCCGGGACCTGGTTTGAACCCACCACCTCTGGTATATGGGGCCAGCACCCTACTCCTTTGAGCCACAGGTGCCACCCTCTTTCAATATCTTTGGACATCTCTTCTTATACATGTAAGAGTTTTCCTGAGGTATATGCCAGGAAATGGAAGTGCTGGGCCCAAGGGTAGGTGCATTTCCAACTTAACAAAATCGTTCTCCCTTTTCCTCTCCTCCTGGAAATGGCTATGTATTCCACTTCCCATATTCTTGTCAGCATTTGGGGTGACCAGACTTAAACTTTTGCCAGTCTGAGGAGAGTGAAATAGTATTTCAGCTTGCTTTAATCTGTACCACCTTGCTGACAAGTGAAAGCATCTTTTAATGCATTTATTAACTGTTTGGATCGTCTCAACTCTGAACTGCCCATTAGTTTCCCACCTTTCTCTTGGGTTACCTTTTTCTTA